AGAAGAGAATACAAATGCAATAAATAAAAAAGTATATAAAATTTAAAACAAAAAGAAAATTAAAATGAGTTCATCGAAACCGCTGATAATTTTCGTTATTAGTTCTAAATTTCACAAATAAAAACTTAAATAATCTTAATGCACATCTCTTACCCAACAGGTATTCGTTTCCGCAGCAGCCTCAAACATTGGGAAAATACTGCCGTTTCGTTTCGAGGATAGTTGCCAGTTTTGGGCGTGTCGACACAGGCCTGGATAAACTCCATAACGTTTGAATGTTCAGCGTGATAGCGATCCTATTTTTAAAGGTGAGGGTTTAAATCAAGAACCATATCACAATAAGTCATAAACTTGCAACTAACTAGACTATAACACAGTAGCTCGTCGCACTGCTTGGAAGCGTAAGAGAAAATCTGCATCGTGTTTTTTGCTGAGATCATCACCTTGAGCTGTTTGCATAAGCAGGGCGTCTTTCGTTTCTCATGTACGCAAAATCCACAGCCTTTCAACAATTTTGCAATAAAGCATCGGCTACTGCACTGCAGATGAAAATATTCCCTTCGAAAATTCAGATTTGCATCTGCCTTGATTTTCCATGTTGAACACTGGCCTTCTGGTCGAACTCATTCTGCCGTGCTTAAGCTCGCTCATGGGCTGGCGTAAAAGGCGTATGCTGAACCGGCTTTTTAACAGGGCTAACCTCCTTTTCCTAATCAACACAACTACTGAGGCTACCCAAGCAAGGAAGAGAAGAAAGTCATTCTAATAATTATGTGATTCCGCCATTAAACCTAACTATGCATCGAATCCAATGACGCTGTACGCAGTTTAACCGTTCAACGCTCATGCTCCTTCGTTTGAATATCTATTTCCATGCCTTACAGCAACACTGGTCTGACTGAAGCAAGACAGAAAGATTTTCATGTTCTCACCACAAATCTTTAGACACGTTTCCAAAAGCACTTGAAAATAGGACTACGCCTCCTACATAACTCAGTCTAGTCTGGATAGTATTAATAATGGAGATGATAAAGTTGAGACACTTAAATTGGTCAACCTCCTGAAGCGCATTGCCTCCCTTTTCCACGTATCAGTGAGCAATGCCAGATGAGTTCTTCATAACTTTGACTTTCAGGTGTTAAAGAAGAGGCAGGCTTTCGCATCCAGACTGCAGAAGAAAGTCGTCAGAGTCCGCTTTCTGTACTACTCATCAGGACAGTATCATAATCTTAAGCAGGATATCCAGCCGGATATCTTGCACTGCACTTTTCCTTTAGAATGAGAACATTCTATTTGAGAGGGTGACCACTGTTTCAGAGAAGAACGTCGAAAATAATGTTGAATAGCACAGGAAAAAGCACTTTTCGGTGGCCAGCACTACAGAAGTA